CTCAACTACTAACTTGATTACTAACTATGATTATCCACTAACTATAGTTATTACATTCAGATACGTATCAGAAGACTAGGAGTTTTTCAAGGAATTTAACTCCAGTCTGCAGACTGGCCTTTCCTTAGCAACTGGATCTATGAGTTAAATCAAATCGGATGTGGTATCAATTGAATAGAAATGGAATCCTTTAGACGTGATCTCTCTATGGTTTCATAGTCAAGAGGTGCCCATAGGATGAGATAGTCCCCAGCTTTCTCCTATTTTCTCTTTGATAGCAATTTACAATATTATATTATAGCCATAAGCTGAATCTTAAGAAGTCATTCTATGCAGTATCTTAACCATAGATCTGGACACCTTTAAAAATGTCGAAGTTCTTATCTACTATTTTTTCTGTAGGTGATTGAAAAGACTGTACCTGCACTTGTGGATCTTGCAGAGATATCATCCCTTGGTGATCATAAGAAGCTTGGAGACTCTATAATCAATGTTCTTCAGGAATGTATGGAATCACAAGGGACAGGTCGTACTCAAATCAATAGCCATGTAAAAGAAGAAATTGAAGAACTACTGAATTCCAAACAGAGACTAAAATGGGAGAAAAATATGCCTAAAGAGGACCTTCATATCAAACAGGCAGCAGCGCTGGTGGTAAAACTAGAAGGAAATTCCCTGTTTTCATCAGGAAATATTTCCGGGGCTGCAGCTAAGTACTCAGAAGCATTGGCATTATGCCCAATTAGGTCAAAGAAAGAGAGAGTGGTACTATACAGCAATCGCGCTCAGTGTCATCTTTTGTTGCAACAACCCTTGGCTGCTATAGGTGATGCTTCTCGTGCATTGTGTCTCCATAATCCTGTGAATCGTCATGCCAAAAGCCTTTGGAGAAGAGCACAGGCGTACGACATGCTTGGTTTAGCCAAGGAGAGCTTACTAGATGCTATTCTGTTTATAAATGAGTGTTCTCAATCAAATGATCCTGATCTGTCTTTGAGACAAAACAAGGTTCCTGATTATGCTGAGCGTTTAGTAAAAAAGCAGATGCGTGCAGCGTGGTTGTTTAGAGAGGCTGCTATTAAACATGGTGAAGTTCACTGTGAGGGTGATGCTGGAGACATGTGTGGCCAGGAAACTGATGATTCTGAATGGGAGACAGCAAGTGAAAGTGAAATAGGAAATGAGGAGAGGGATGAAATTGGTGATGACATTTGTGGATGGGAAAATGAGGTTGAAAGGAAGGATAAGTACAAAAAGGCTTCAATCAAAGGTAATTTGATTCCTAATTTCTAATGTTTAACTGCATCTATCACTCTAAGCTTATAGAATTGGTGATTTATCCATCTTGAGAATATAAGCTATCCCGTGTATGTGTCGACTGAAGTTATGATTTTTATCGTCCTTGCTTAATTAATCTTGTATTCAGTATAGATTTCATAATAATTAAAAAAAACTTATATTCAGTGTAGAGTGGGTGGATCTTTCACAACCTTTGTTTTGCCTCAAATGATCCCATCTCCAACTCTTTCTGAGTACATAGTCCATTTTGGTGAGAGGTTTTGGTGAACACAATAATTGTCTATGATGTTAAACAGTTGAGAGCAACTGTCAATGTATGTATCCCGATTTTTCTGGAAATCATATTTAATATGTTCAGTACCAGATTTTTCAGATGACAGTCCCTCGTTCACCCAAAAAAAATCTGATGACTGTCCTTTTAAATATTTTTCCATATATCATTTATTTGTATTTCTCAGATTTTTCAGATTACTGCATTCTAGACTTTGCTAAGGCAGTAGAGCGCTGTTCTTTTATCCATCTTTACTTTCATCATTCGTGATAGTGATTTGTGAGAATGCATATGTTCAAATAGGTTAATTTTAATCCATCATACACATTTCTATGGCTTCAAATAAATGATCATACCACCACTATTTTTGGGAAGTGATTGAAATCTTGAACAATGATATATAAAGTGAGAAATGAATAAGCAACTTTCTTAACTCGGTTAAATGGTGGACGACCAGTGGTGTTATCCATTGTGGTTACTTCCTGAAGAGAGGGGAGCAAGCTGGACATGAAGTTATTATTTAATTAAACAGCCTGTGATGCAAGTATATGATTTCCTTAAAATAGTAAAAGATTAGAATGACGAAACAAATATCTAATAAGGACTTATCTTGGACACTTACTATGAAATTCATAAATAATAAATCTTTATTTTCTAGCAGTGTCAAATGTTTTTTAAACACTTTCTTCCCGGATTCTTCATGTTATTTTCTACAGCTTTAAACTTAGCATTATCTAAATGCCAATGTGTTATCCTGCTGATCCTTGTCTAGACATTTTTATTGTTTAAACAGTAATACTTAAAGATTGGCATCGTTGGGGTCACTGTTAGTTGAGGGATCCCAATATTTTGCCTATGAGTTCTTGGTAGTTGGGCGTGTTGAGCAAGTGCAGAATTAGCTGTAAGACCGTGGTTCATATGTCCAACCATAACATAAAGGGGAATGTTAACTAAGTCTGCCCTTCTTTCTTATGTTTCTTTTTTTTTTCTCTTTGTTTCATTTGTGTTTCTCTTATCTTTACATTTGGCGATTAAAAAAATTAATATAATGAATTTGATGATCCTTAACTTTACAGAGTTCAGTATATCCTTTGAACTTTGCTTCTGTATGTTAACTTTCTGCATTAATTGTTTCTCACCCATCCCAATAAAATTTTATTACTTTCCTTTTTTTCCTGTCTCTCCAAGTTATGGTCCACTCTTAAGCTTAATATGCATAGAATACCAAATGTATCTTTCCAGTGGGGTCCGCAATAATTCATGTCAAAGCCTATAAGAGCAAGGGAAAATGACAATGTAAAGATCAAAGAGTTCCTGAATATGAAATGGTCCCAATCTTCCTGAGACTGACAAGAAAAAGAAAGAGCAGGTAAAAAATTGGCATAGAGGGAGTACAAAGTGTTTAACTTACTTTTGTTGGACATACCTAATCAAACTAAGACCTAATTGGATGAGAGTTCTAGCCTTGTCGTCAAAGCAAATTTTTGGAATGCACATTGTTGTACATGAAAGTTTATAATTGTTCTGATTTCTTTAAACGTTTACTGTTCCTGTTGAAATTGGTATACATTTACTTCCCTGTCTAGCTGTTTCTGAATTTAAATTGTGATGCATCTTATTCTTGAATTTGACCCAACTTTTACACTGATGCAGAGATAAAACATGGATACAATGTGCAGCTTACTGAAGACGACGTGTAATTTTTCACCTATTAACCCTGTTCTGGGATATTTAGCATCCATTAGCTTGAGAATCTAAGTGTCTCTCTTGCTGTGTCTACTCTGCGCAAAGGCCAGAGGTGTTCATTGTTGTTTTTGCGTGTCGCATTGCTGAATAATCTCTCCCTCTCCCTCTCCTTCACTCTTTTACATATAGTTCAAATAGAGCTAGAGGAAAAGAAAAGGATTGTTAATGTGTTTATTTTTCAAGTTTTCCTTTTTGCTTTGGTTTGTTTCCAAGTCATTCTTTGAGAAATCAGCAAAAGTGAAAAATGATTTCTGTACATAAACTCTTTGGGATCTCTTTGGCTAATTCTGGCAAAATGCAGTTGTGAGTCGTCTTCATTGCTGTGATTGTGTCCAAAATGATTTTTTGGGTATTTATTGTATGGACCATAATTTATTAAATCAGTTAGCAGAAGGCTAGAAGGGCTTAAGCTGTGTTAGCCTAGAGGTTGTGTTTGAAATTGACTACTAAGTTTATTGCTGTTTCTTCCCAGCTTACCTGCAAATATTCGATACTTTTGGGTACTGGCCAAATTGAGCTCTCAAGACTGTAGTGTGTTGTCTGGAAGTCATTAGCCGAGGGTCTATCGGAAACAGCCTCTCTGCCCTTCTAGGGTAAGGGTAAGGTTGTGTACATCTTACTCTCCCCATACCTGTGGGAAATTAATGGGTTTGTTGTTGTCTAAAGTCATCTCTAGGGTTTGTGTCATCTCTAGGGTTTGAGCTGGCCATTGCTTTCTACAGTATTAGTGTAGTAATTTAACGTGTTATAACATACTCCCTCCATTTCAATTTATGTGAACCTATTTCCTTTTTAGTCCGTGCCAAAAAGAATGACCCCTTTCCTTATTTGGAAACAATTTACCTTTACACAATGATTTATAGCCACACAAAATATATGTGCCTTATTTTACACGACAAGATCAAAAGTCTTCTCTCTTTCCTTAAACTACGTGCACAGTCAAATGGGTTCACATGAATTGAAACGGAGGGAGTATTATTTATCATTTATAAGATGTTATTTTCTTACCAATCAGCACTTCTTATATAGGGTTACTATTGCTATTCCAGAGACCTGATTATGTAAATATACTTGGTAAATACTTAGTAAATTTCCTTCCAATCTGTTTGACCCAAAATTTAAATCTAGATTTAAACAATTAGATTTTCTAATAGAATAGAATTAATCTTATCCAATATTAATATCCAAAAGGTAAGGTCATTTAACTAATTTCGTGATAAACTGTCACAAGTTCCGTCAGATATCTAATAACAACATTATTTAATGACCCAAGAACTAAGAAAGATAGCATTTAATAGTAATAAATGAAATATAATGGCATTTAAGTAAATAAATGCAAGTGAGATAATCGGAAAAAAGTTGAATTCGATGTTATTCCCCCTGAAAATGGTAGGTGATTGATGAACCTTTGAATATTCGTACTCTTCTTGGATCGTGGAGAAAAGTTAAAAATCAGATCTGGGGAAAGATATATTTTGTATGTATGTAAAACAAGAATCTTCAAAGAATGTCAAAGCGTTGTTCCTTTTTAATGAGTGTCCAATCCCCTTCTATAACTATATATTTATCTATTTATATGGGAACATGGGTCATAAAACCCTAATAGCACAGATTCCAGGAATATTCACTGAAATATTCTCTTTAGAGTTTTATCCCTAAAATTAGTCGTTACTGCTCCGTTAAGGAAAGAACTCGTCCTCGACCTCGCATTCGTCCTTATCAGATCATTTCGACTTTGTCTTCGTCTTTTATTGAAATCATATCGATGAAGCGTGACAATCTCTGAGGGTTCTCTTAGTGTTGACATGGACCACACATGACTAGGATAATTTTTGCCCATACAATTAGTCCCTTTGCTCGTTGAGGTCCTCTTCGTGGGTGAGGTCAATGAGTGGATAATATCATTCATGATCGTCTTTATGGTCGAGCTCGCTGAACAGATAACATTGGCCGTGTTCGTTGTGACGAACATGCGACGTGGCTCTTTGTGGGCCGCATATTTCAAATCCTTTAAATTTTTCGGGTGATTTGTTGGAACCATCTATCCTAAGAGAAAGAGTGACATCATGACGTCATACGTTATGATAATGCTGGTTCTCGACGCACTGTGTCAATTCGCGCATGACCTTTGATTGGTTCTGCCGTTTCGATTCTGGTGCCTCAATCTTTATAAATAGGGATTGCTTCTTCATTATTCAAACTTTACTTCTTTTCATATTCTCTTTGTTCTCATAAATAAACTCCATTTTCTCTCTTGAATCTTCTTTCATCTCCTGAGCTTTGATTTTCTTCTATACTCCTATCTTTTCCATAACCATGTCTAACCCTTCTCCTAATGCTAGTAAAGAGAGTCGTGTCGTCCCTTTGGCAGTTGTGTTCCCTGCTCACGGGGAGGACGTTGTTGCTGTTGCAGAAGATGAATCTCGTCCATCAGTGGAAGAGATCATCCCTGGCAACCATGAGCTAGGCCTGACCTCCAACGGTAGCCGAACACGGCGCCCGATTTTTTTTTTATAATCAATGGCTCCTAAGCAGTTGGCTGAGTTCAAAGGTAAGTTTGGCCTTCCCAACAATGTTGAACTGATTCCTGCTAACGAGGACGAGGTGCACGTTCACCGTCCTAGGTACTGTGCTCTCTATGCCTACCCATTTACCATTGGCTATTCGTTTCCTCTTCTTCCGCTGGTGGAGGAGTTTTGCCACCACTATAGCGTTTTCCCCACTTAGCTCGTCCCTTACCTGCTCGCACCTGGCTTCTATACAGGGACGATGTTGAACCTTCGTCACCATGGAGGCAAAATTTTAGTGGTGAAGATGGACGACAAGGCCAGTCACCAATTCTGGCTTGACTACTTTTACGTCAAAATTAAGACCGTCATGGCTAATGTCGACAGTTTCCCTGAGGCTTGGAACCATACACGTAAGTGTTCGGGTCTCTTTCGTTTTTACCTTTTGAAGCTCTTTATATATTTCTAATTAGTTAAATAATTCTTCTTTCCCTGCAGCCAACAACCACCTTCCCCCTCTGGCTATACATATCGTCGACTAGGTCGTGTAGATTCCTCCCCACGCCGTTGGGATTCGTGACTGGCCGAGCTTATTTCAGAAGTTCAGACCGGCCCTCCCTTCGGCACGTAATTTCTCCTTTCTGGCCGTGTCCGTTTTTCTTTTTATGTCGGCTTGCATCATTGTAAAACCTCTTTGCTTTTTCTTCTTCAAGTCCAGTCAGGAGGTCTTCCAGAAGGAGTAGGGCATTTGTGCCCTCATTTAGGAAGAGAAGGGATGCCACGCCTTCTGTCTCTGCCCCGTCATGGCTACTGCGCCTTCTGCACCAGCCCCCCATCCTGGCTGCTGAGTCCGTTCCCTGGTTGTTCTCACTTCTTGATGAGGATGACTAAGACTCCCCCCTTCCCCCGTGATGAGGATCTAAGCCCTCGCAAGGGAAGGTTGTGGATGTCGCGGGGGAGGGGGAAGTCCCTATGGCCATCGATTCAGTGGAGGTTGACTTCACTCTTCAAGAGACAGCGACGATACACATCGGAGACGATGTTGGGGATAATATTGGGGCGAGCTCTGAGGCCCCACAACTAAAAGAGACGAATGCGGGCGTGCTAATATGTCCTAAGGGGAGATGGTCGTGGAGAGGACACCTGATGATGGCCCCGTGTCTCTGAGGCAAGACGAGGATTTATCCTCCATCACAGCAGTGGATGCTTCTCCGCCAGTCAATGACGGAGGAAAAGTCGTCGTTAATGAGGATGATGAGTCGAGTTGTGACATGGACCTTGATGATCTAAGAGTGATCGACGGGGGGCTCACCCAACTCCAGACGAGGATGGAGGGAGGCTCTAGGAGCATTATGATCCCAATGGATCATGACTTGTTGTGAAATACCGAGGAGGTAGTCCCTACTCTCGGTCCTCTCTGCTCTGACTCCGAGGGTGTGACCTTCAAGGAAATAACTGATGGTACCTTGTCGAAGAATGTCATCGGTCTCGCTCTCAAGGTAAGTACAGTTGTTGTCCGTTCTTTTCCTTTTGTCTTAGCTTATTTTTAAGTTCAAACTTTCGCTTTTTCTTTGATTTGCAGATGGTCATTCTGGAAACAGAGAGTGCTCGGAGGGGGAAAAGACGTAAAGAAATTTATGTGAAGTTGAAGGTAAGTACATAGAGTACCGTTAAAAGTACTGGGACCTTCGGAAGCGGCTACGTGAGGAGGGTGACGTGCCGTATTTAAGAGAAAATTTGAAGAAGAAGGACGATGAGCTGATGGCAGTCGTGGAGAGGTTCAGCGTCCTCGATGGAATGTTGAAGAAAAGGGAAGAGCTCGAGATAAGTAAGGGCGAGGAGGCCCAGTGCAGTGATCTTCAGGCTCAGTTGTTTCAACTGCGAAGTCAGTTGGACAAGTGTCAGCTTGAAATCGACACTCTCAATAGGGAGATCGCTGAGAAACAGCAAGTTGCTTGAGCAGGCGAAGTCTTCCCGACTGGATGCTCGGAGAAAGATTAACATCCTTGAGTGGGCGGACATGACTCTCCGTTTTGAACGAGAAAATGATTTGTCAACGACTAGGGCTAAGGAGGACCGTCTTGAGGGGAGGATAGAGGAGTTGGACAAGGAAAACTCCGAGCTGCATGATCGTGTTGTTGCTCTAGAGGCCGAGAAGGCCTAACTGCTTGTGCGGCCCTCTTCGTCTAAGTAGTGGATCCATGTTGAAGCCGACTGGATGTGTTCTTTGACTTGAATACAGCAGGCTCTATTTCTGAGGCGGCCCTCGAGGATGATCGGGTCAAACATCATGAGGCTCGACTTTCTTGTGGTTATGATCCTGCTATGCCCTGACCTGGTTCTGATGAGGATGAGGACGAGGGTGTGGATCGACTCACGGACAGAGCTTGGTATGACTTTTCCTACGGTCAAGGTGGGGACTCAGAGGGCGTCGAAGGCTGGGATGGCGATGGCGTTCAAGTCCGGGATGGCGATGGCCGGTAGTTTTTATTTTTACTTCTTGTGTATTTTTGTTGGCCTCTTCGAGCACTTTTATAAAAAACTCTTCATCTGAATATGAATATCAAAGGTGAATTTTGTTTTACATGTACCTTTTTCATTTTGGTGTTTTGTTTCTGTACTTTTATGTTTTGCTTTTGTACTTGCATGTTTTTCTTCTTTATTCTTTTTATTGTTTCCATCCTTTAGGTGGTCGTAGCCTTAGGGTCGAATAGACGTGGGCCGTATTGGCCCTTTATTTACATAATTCGAGTATGTCTCTTAGTTGAGATGTGGCCCAGGGCCGATAGGTGTTGTTCGACATCGGTCGAACTTAACCTTTTATTAAATCGTTGACAAGGGCCGATAGGTGTTGTTTGAGCTTGGTTTAACTTAACCTTTTACTAAGTCATGGTCGAGGGCCGATAGGTGTTATTCGAGCTTGGTCGAACTTAACCGTTTGTTAAATCTTGGCCAAGGGCTGATAGGTGTTGTTCGAGCTTGGTCGAACTTAATCGTTTATTAAATCATGGCCAAGGGTCGATAGGTGTTGTTCGAGCTTAGTCGAACATAACCATTTATTAAATCGTGGCTAAGGGTTGATAGTTGTTGTTTGAGCTTGGTCGAACTTAATTGTTTGTTAAATCATGGCCCAGGGCTGATAGGTATTGTTCGAGCTTGGTCGAACTTAACCGTTTATTGGAGCGATTTCGATAAATGTGTACTTCTATTATTTTGACAATGTTGCTCTGATTACATTATTTTGCCCTTGGGCAAATTTTGGAGAAAGTTACAAGCTTTGGGTGTTGGCTGGCGTTCCAGTCCTAGTCTCAGTATATCTAGTCCCTTCATAGTTCAAGTTGGAGAATTTTGAGGAGTCAGGCAATGAAAACTTTGTCTGCTCTTGTGCGTTCCAACTTGAGGTATCCCGCTCGTCGCCTCGTTATAAACCTCCTTGAGAAAACCCTATAGGGGCAAAACTCAAGTGAGGGAAAAATAGTACGACTTACAGGGTACTTCTTATTTCTTAGAAGTTGAAGTACTTGAGATGGTTGATATTCCAATTGTTTGGTAGGAGCTTCCCTTCCATAGTTTCCAATTGGAATGAGCCTTTGTCTACTTTGCCTATAATTTTGTGCGGTACGTCCTAGTTTGTTCCCAGTTTGCCTTCTCGTGGTTCCTATTTTCTTGGGTTTTGGCTTTGAGTACGTAATCTCCGACTTTGAGCAGTCGAACCTTTTCTGTTTTGCTATAATAGCGCTCTGCTTGTTGTTCCTGAGCGACCATCCTTATGTACTTCATGTCTCGTCGCTCCTCGACCTTGTCGAGATCTTGCCTCCTATTATCGTCGTTGCTGGTACCGTTTTCATGGGAGTACCTCAGGCTGGGTTCTCCGACTTCGACTGGTATGACCGCTTCTATTCTGTAGACGAGGGAGTAAGGTGTCTCTCCTGTGCTCGTCTTCGGGGTAGTCCTGTGTGCCCATGATGCTTCTGGGAGTATTTCTGGCCATATTCCTTTTGCCTCTTCAAGTTTCTTCTTCATGATGTTTAGTATTGTCTTATTGAAGGATTCTTCTTGCGTTGCCGGCTGGGTGGTAGGAAGTTAAAAGTATTCTTTTGATATGCCATTTTTCGAAGAACTCAGTGGTTCTTCTTCCTGTGAAATGAGGTCCGTTGTCGCAGCTTATCTCTTTAGGTAGGCTGGATTGACATATGACATTTTTCCATATGAAAGTGATTACCTCTTGTTAGAGAATTTGGGAAAATGCCCTTGCTTCCACCAATTTAGAGAAATAGTCAGTTAAAACTAAAAGAAATCGCACATTACCTCGCCCCGGCAGGCGTGGACCCACGATGTCCATTCCTTACTTAATAAATGGCCATGGAGAGGTGATCGAATGAAGGTGTTTGCTTGCTTGGTGGATTATTTGGGCGTACTTCTGACATTGCTCGCATTTATTCACGAACTTTGAGGTGTCCTTTTTCATGGTGGGTCAATAGTAGCGAAATAAGTGCCGCAATGGCCCTTGAGGACTTCCTCGAGAACGTGTTGGGTTTGGTTTGGGCCTAAACACTTTGCCAAAGGATCGCCAGACGTTCTCTTGTATAAGTCATTATGAAGGAGGTCGTATCTAGCTGCTTGCATTCTTAGTTTTTTAGCTTCCCTTTTGTCGTTTGGAAAGGTGCCATCCTGGAAATACGTAATAGTACAATTGCGCCAGTCCCAAGTTAAACTTATAGATTTTACCTCGACTTGGTCTAGTGAAGAGTTGAGGATATGGACTACACTTTTGTCTCTAGCCGTTATGCTTTTGGTGGTGGCAGCCAATTTAGCGAGGCTATTTGCTTCGATATTTTGAGTTCATGGGATCTGGTCGAGCTGGCATTCGTCAAAATTGGGCAGCAATTTATAGATCTTGACTTGATATTTTTTCAACCTTTGTTCTTTGAATTGGAAAGTCCCTGTAACTTGGTTGACTACGAGTTGAGATTCACAATGGAGTTTCATCCGCTTCGCCCCACATTTGAGTGCTAGCCTCAACCTTGCAATTACAACCTCATACTCGGCCTCGTTCTTAGTCATATCTAGGCATCTTATGGATTGCGAATTACTTCGCCAGTAGGGACCTCGGGTCCTAGTCTAGATCCGGAATCATTGGATGCATCGTCGGCGTATATGACCCAGAGGTCTTGTGTTTGAAGAGAAGCTTGAGCGGCTTCCTTCTTGGCCTCATGCATTACTTTTGCGCTAAAGTCTGCGATGAAGTCAGTGAGCACTTGAAACTTTATTGTTGTTCGAGGCTGATATGTGATGTCGTGCTCACTTATCTCTATGGACCATTTGGCAATCCTCCCCGATATCTCGGGTTTATGTAAAATGCTTCTTAAAAGAAAAGTGGTGACGTTCGAGATAGGGTGACACTGGAAATAGGGTCCAAGCTTTCGTGAAGCTACGACTAAGGTCAGGGCTAACTTTTCGAGGTGTGGGTACCTCGTCTCGACGTCGATAAGTGTTTTGCTGATATAATAAATGGATATTGTGTACCTTTATTTTCTTGTACTAGGACCGTACTTACTACTACTTCGGAGAAGGCGAGGTAGACGGGGAGGTGTTCCCTAGGATCGGGCTTCGAGAGCAAGGCAGTGACGGCAAATATTCCTTTAGTTCTTGTAGTGCTTGTACGCACTCGGGCGTCTACCCGAGACCGTTATCTTTTTTGAGTTCACTAAAAAACCTGTGACATCTATCGGACGACTGCGGGATAAATCTAACTACGTGGAAATTCGACCAACCAATCTTTGGACTTGCTTCTTAGTAGTCAACTATTCGTGTATTCCGTCGATAGCCTTGATTTGATCTGGGTTGACCTCAATTCCTCGTTGTGATACTAAGAAGCCCAAAAAACTTCCCCAGGCTATGCCAAACGCACATTTCTCGGGGTTTAGTTGCATCACGTACTGTCTTAGTATATCAAAAGCTTCCTTCAAGTGATTGATATGATCCTCTGCCTTCACGGATTAGACCAACATGTTGTTGATATGTACCTCCATGGTTTTGCCGAGTTGGTCTTTAAATGTTTTTGTGACCAATCTTTTATAGGTAGCTCCTCATTTCTTCAACCCAAACGGCATTGACCCTATAACAATATATTCCCCTGAGAGTGATGAACGTGGTTTTTCTTGGTCTTCTTCCTGCATGTGTATGTAGTTATAACCCGAATATGCATCTAGAAAACTCAGCAGCTCGTACCTCGCCGTTGCGTCAATGAGTTGGTCGATACGTGGCAATGGGAATGAATCTTTCGGGCATGCTTTGTTTAGGTATGTGAAGTCCACACACATCCTCAATTTTCCATTTTTCTTTTTCACCATCAACATGTTAGTATCCATTTGGGGGTACTTCGATTCCTTGATGGAGCCGTTCGTTAATAGCTTCTCTACTTCTTCGTGGACAGTATCATTAATAGTGGGGTTGAACTTTTGTCGGACCTGCCATACTGGGGGATAAAAGGGATCGATGTTCAGTTTGTGTGCGACGATCTCTATGGGGATGCCCGACATATCTGTATGGTTGAAGGCAAACAAATCTGCGTTAGTTATTAAGAATTGACTAAATTTACCTGGTTCTTAGAGTTTGAAGCCGATGTAGACTTTTTTTACGACGGTCGCTATGGTCTAATTGGACGGGGTCGAGGTATTCTATTGTTGACTCTGCGACTTTGATTATTTCAGGTTCCAAAATTACTTCCCTATCTTCATATTGTGGCAACCTTGACCCTGCTGATTCTTATGCTTCTTTTTCCTTATCTTTCTTTTGTTGAGTTGTCGTGCTGTCCATGGAGATTCGATAGCATTTCTGGGACGTGCATTGTTCCCCTCGTATGCTGAATATTCCCCAAGGTGTTGGGAATTTGATCACTTGGTATAAGCTGGGAGGGACGACTGTCATAGGATATATCCATGGTAGTTCCACGATGACGTTGTACGCGGTGTCCTGGTCCATGATGTGGAACTTTGTCTCTAGAGTCACCCCACTGGCGAGAACAGAGAGTGTAATTTCTCCCCAATTGTGTTCAACTGCATTGTTAAAATAGGTTAGTGTGATGCAACGTGGCACTATCCTATCCTCGAGTCTCATCTGAGCAAGGACTCGGGGATGGATGATGCACGTTCCACTTTCTTCATCTACCATGATTCGTTTAACATCAATATATAAAATTCGTAAAGTAATTACAAGGGCATCATCGTGAGGAAAAGTCAAATCATCGGTATATGACTCGTCGAAGATGATGCTTTCTTCGAGTCTGTCATACCGTTCATGGGTGATTGATCTTTTTATCTTGTGGGTGGCGGTGAACTTGATGCCGTTGATAGAGGCGTCATCGTTGTCACCAATAATCATATTGATGGCACGAGCTAGTGAAGGTGGCTTTGGCAAGCCTTGACGTTCTCGAACCCTTTCTGTGGTGTTACTGCCTTTGTCACTGAGCAATTCTTTGAGGTGCCTTTGTTGTAGCATGTTCGCTACGTCTTTCCTTAAGGAGATGCAATCTTCTGTTTTGTGTACGCATTCCTGGTGGAATTCGCAGAGGGCTTCGAATTTCCTGGTGCTCGTATCGGACCTCATCTTTTGCGTCTATTTCACCTTTTTCCAAGATTCTCAAGGGCGTGGACCACCTCTGTAGGTAAAACACAAAAATTGTGAGCAGATAGAAAGGGGGACATACCTCTATCGTTCCTGTGAGTTCCCGATCCCGGCCTAGATGGGCCATCTTCATAACGAAAGGAGGGAGGAGTGGACGCCCTGATATAGGGTTGGTGTCGCTTTTTGTTCGACCGTGAGGCTGGGTGATATCCTTGTATTATCTCTTCGTTCTTTCCTGGACTCTGATTGTACCGAGATGAGTCATCGAGTTGGTCTATTGAGGTCGTCGTGATCTGCTCTGACCTCAACAGAGTAGGCATTATGAATTTCATCCCAAGTGGTTGGAGGATACTTCGTTAATCGGCTCAGCAGCTTTCTAGTCGCTCTTGAACCCTCTATACTCAATCATTTCTGAAAGGCTGCTATGGTTATCCCTTTGGAAACATTTGGTAAGATTATCCTTACCCTATTGAACCAGGCGAGGAAATCCCTCAGCCCCTCTCTCGGGGATTGTTTGATGGCAAAGTTGTCGTTTACTCTTGTTTCAGCTTTCTTGGCCCCGGCATGTGCCTCACGAACTTATCGGCCATCTCTTCGAACGTTTCTATGGAATGAGCTGGTAGCTTTGAATACTATGTTAATGCCGCTCCGATGAAGGTTTCGCCAAATTTATTCAGCAAAATAGAGGGCACTTTCTCCTTGGTAAGGTCGATGCCTTTTACAGCTCTAACGCAGTGAGTCACATGATCTTTGGGGTCGGTCATCCCATCGTATATTTTGAGATATGGGGGCATCTTGAAGGTCTTTGATATGGCAAGTGGAGCCGCTTCCTCGCTATATAGTTGTTCTATGAACCTACCGGCGTCCCTTTTTGGTAGCAATTTGGGGGCGCTAGGTATCTTGTCTACTTGTTCCTAGTGCCCTTTCATTTGGTCTCTAAGCACCTTGTTTTCATTTTTTATTTCCTTCATTCTTTTCAAGATACTGGCGAGGATGCTATCACTTGCACTATCAGTAACATCGTGAGTTTTACCTGAAGTTGGAGGGTTCGGTTGGTCATCCTATTTGTCCCCTCATGGTGTTTCATGGGCTCTCGTGGTTTTTATAATCGTGAATGGAGCTTGTTTGCTGAGTATATTGACTAGGGTATCAGTTAGTCATGCTTCGAGGGGTTTTTCATAGTGTGTGGCGTCCCCTCTCCCGCGGACGTGGGGGGTCCTTTCCCGTTTGGTTTTGTTGGGCTGCAAAAAGGTAGGAGTGACCTTTCTCGTCCGAGAGAGGCCGTAGGCGTTAACCCCTAATCACGTGTGTTATAGATTTCGTTGATAACATTTATAAGGTTGAAGGGAACATTATCTATTTCCCTCGTTCTGTTTCCTTGGTTACCTGCCATGGAAATTTTGTACGCACAAAGAAGAGAGATAAACTTTATGGTTTGTTAGATTAACAAGTCACATGAGTTGTAGATCTAGTGGAAACTAAAAAATTGGCAGAGAAAATCCCCACAGACGACACCAACCTGTTTGACCCAAAATTTAGATATAGGTTTAAACAATTAGATTTTCTAATAGAATAGAGTTAATCTTATCCAATATTAATATCCAAAAGGTCATTTAACTGATTTTGTGACAAACTGTCACAAGTTCCGTCAGATATCAATAAATGTGTAATAACAATTGTATTTAATGACCCAAGAACTAAGAAGATAGCATTTAATAGTAATAAATGAAATATAATGGTATTTAAGTAAATAAATGCAAGTGAGATAATCGGAAAAGGGTTGAATTCGGTGTTATTCCCCCTGAAAATGATAAGTGATTGATGGACCTTTGAATATTCGTACTTTTCTTGGATCGTGGAGAAAAGTTAAAAATCAGATCTGAGGAAAGGTATATTTTGTATGTATGTAAAGCATGAATCTTCAAAGAAAGTCAAAGTGTTGTTCCTTTTTTAATAAGTGTTCAACCCTCTTCTATAACTAATATATATATATATATATATANTAAAATATTCTCTTTAGAGTTTTATCCCTAAAACTAGCTGTTACTGCTACGTTAAGAAACTACTCGTCCTCGACCTCGATCTCTGTTGACTCCTCGATCTCTCCTTCGTCCTTTATCAAATTACTTCAACTTCGTCTCCATCTTTTGTTGAAATCATATCAATGACGCGTGGCAGCCTTCGAGGGTTTTCTTAGTGTTGACGTGTCCCACAAATAACTAGGATAATTTTTGGCCTATACACTACCTTCTTTAATTTCGTGAGAAAAGATGTCGATCAGCTTTCACAAAGATATTCATTAGTTGTCAACGTATCATTTCCATTTGTATACAAGTGCATTTACAGTCGTCTTATTTATTAATAATGTGAATGCTACTGCCTACCTTGCAACTGTTGTGTCTAACATCTAGATTTAACTATCAACCATTATGATCCCTTCTACCAAACGGATTCCAAAAGTGAAAGTCAAAATCAAGAGTTAAGTACTCAATTTTGGAGGAATTTCCTTTTCGTTCTGTGAGTATGTATATGTCCAGAACCTTACATTATAAGTTTTTTGGCTAATACTCCACATCTTTTTCTTTTATCGTCTTTGTATGCTTATAGTTTGTTATATGTTTAAACAGAAAGAGAAAAAAAATTGTGAAAGTATGGTGTCAATGTTTTTCTTAAACATATAAAATACGTACGAGACGAATTTTGTTTCGGCTATTGTGGTTTGCCTACTAAAATATGTGACATCAAGTATGCTGCTCTAATTATAAAACTTGTGTAGACTTTTTATCCTGCATTTAGCTAACGTTTTCTGTCACTCTCATTATTTTATTTCAAACCCCATTTCCTTTTGTGAGTGAGCATAAAGTTTGCAGTTGTATTCAAAGGTAAACTTGAATTTTTCTTCTTCCTTCCTAATTTTTTTTTGGGGAAAGGGAATAAGGGAAGGAAAAAGAAGAAAAGAAAAACCTTTGATGAAATTTGAACTTTACATCTTAAATATGAATCTCGTAAATTTGAAAAAAAAAAAAACTCTACTTTTTTCATGCATTAGCGTATTGTAGTATTGATAAAAGAGGTACAATAACGCCATCAAACTCGAGCTAAAGTCGTACGTCATTTTCAAGTAAACATATAAATTATCGTTTAGCTAAAAAAAATCAAAAAATCCTAAAAGTGGAGTAGCGGCCCAGGCGGCAAAGAGGGGCATAGGTTGGGTGAAATACTGGTCTCCCTAATCATAGAACTTTAAATGTTTTTCTATTAAATTTCATTAAATATATATA